CAGAATACAAAAAGAGCACGAAAGGGGGGGGGGGGGGGGGGGGAAGGAAAAGCAAATACACACTTGAGACAGTATAGGGATAAAGAGAACACTTCTCTCGGAAGTAATGAATGAACCAAAATAGAACTTAAGTATAGCAAGTATAAACTCAGTGTAAAAGTTTGTTTGTCAGCAAAAAGGAAATATTTTTGTTTACATGGAGAATTAACAGTCAAAATCTCCAGTTCTCCTCCTTCTTTTATGTACTCTTTTTACATGTGCAAGACATCCGTGATGTTTGAAATTATTAATGGAATTTATATTTCAAAATCTATGTATCAGGTGAAATTCTCATCCTAAACCACCATTTCTTCATGTCCAATAAAAGCACTGAAGCATCACGAGGAGTGCCTAGAAATCTTGCCTACATTTGGAGGAGTTTTTGCAGTGCAGGAAGGTTAGCTTCAAGTTTTTGCTTGAATGAAAAGGGGGTCTATTTTACAACTTCCCATTAAAAAAATATACTATTACATATGACTTCTACCCCTTTGAAGTAGTACTAAGTACTAATACCATGTCATGCTAAGGTATTGCTTACTTGTCTTCTAAGAAATGCTCAGATACGAAGAGGAATGAACACAGTAAAAGAACCTATATGAACTAGAATGGATCAGAGGACAAGCTAGGGATTGGGCTGGGAGGTGGCCACAGCCATTAATACGGAGTACCGCTGTGATTTTTGTTAAAGTTGCAGCCATTTTAGCACAAAAAGACATGAGATTTCCTCTGGGAATGCCTTCTGGATCAATTCAAGACCACAGCCCTCAAGCTTATGGAGCAGAAACACAGCTTAGAGAATCTGAGACACCCCTAATTTTGTGCAACAAACCCTTGCCAAGTTTCCTGTAGGGATACTGGTACAATCTTATTTATGTAAACACAATGCTAATGTAAAGGAAGTCAAGTGTGCTTCTTCATGATCGTCAATAAAATTTTAGTTACAGTAAAAGAGAAATCTTGACTAGACCTTGTTGTTACTCCACATGTTCCCACTTCAGAAAGTCCATTTTAAGTTTAGGATGCTTTGTTGGATTGGGGGCAACAAGCACTTGTAGTAAGCCTTAATATGATAAGTATTAGAAAAATCATCCCACAAAGTGTGTAAAAAAAAAAATTAAATTTGTAATCATATTTGTTTCTGATGTTTGTCTGAGCTTGCACTTAGACCCTTCAAACCTCATACACCCCCAGGGCACTACAGTACTAAGCTTTCACATGAAAGATGAGGATCCTCAGATCAACTTTCACCATATTTCTGAAACAGTCAGTCCCTCTTGTGCATGCAGACACCATCTACCCCATCACAGGCCGGGTTTTTTTGGAAATAACAAGCGTGACGCACCTTCTGCAGTGAAGTTCTGTGCAGAAATAGATTTGAAAGTCATCTGAGTTGTGCAGCACATATAGGAAACAGCACCGTTCTTCAAACTTCGAAATGCTGAAAGAACAGCCAAGCAGAACATGTTATTGGAAAGATGCATTTGGACTTCTACCAGCTATGTCAAACCATACAGATCAACCCATTTAATATGGGAAAGCACCAGATTAAACCCAAGCAGCCATAGTTTTTCCTTATTGTAAAATTACACTCTTGTATCCTCCAAAGTTCACATTCTGCTGTTTGCTATGATTCAGCTTGCCCCCTAGTCCACACATTGCCCAAGAAAGAGTACGAGCAAAGACGTTAATAGGATTATTTCCATTGCCTTGAGTCATTTTTGCCTTCAGTGCATTTAGGTAAGGCCCTTAATTTCCATTCCTGCAATCAGGATGAAACATCCTTTCAGGATCATATTAGAAAGCTGGACTTTGAACTCAAATCATGAGTTCTTCCCGCTTTAGAAATCAGCCACAGCTCAATCCTGAATACAAAAATTTCTGATTGGTTCCTTGTGAATTGGTCCATTGACAGTAAGTTGGAAAAACATTTTAAAATTAAGTCAGCATCAAAGAATGAGGTGAATGACTTTACCACCCTTGCCCACCCACGCCTTTCTTCAGTTTAGGTTTTATCTGCTATAGCAGGAGAACAAAGGTAATGAAAAAGTAGGTATGCCATTTTCTTATGGATGCATAGCTGTCTCAACAAAAGAGCAGAAGAGGTGCAAACTCTGGTACCGTTGCCAGTTTTCTACCCCAAGTAGGCTGCAGCTCTTGCAAAGGTATTCATTCACCAGAATTGTTTTATGTGCATGTCATTACTGTGCTCCTTATAGAAAATATCAAACGTTAGTTGAAATAGCTCTTTCTGTAACTTTGTCACATGTTGAGTGCCAGGTGTCAAGCTGATGCAGTATAATTGATTGTTACTATATGAGAAAAGGAAAAAAAAAAAAGATGGCTAGAGGTCTTACAAGGGAATATAATACAGTATTTGAGAAACCAAGACAAATTAAGTCTCCTTAGATTATTCTTAAGGACTGGACAAATCCACAGTCCTCGTGAAATCAATCTATTTTAGCTGGATCAACATAGCCATCATGTTTTTAATTAATTTATAGCAAAATAAAGCGGAACAGTATTCTATGTTGTGCCAAAGGATCGATGATTTGATTAACATAAGTTTTTCTTTAAATATCAGGAAATACTTGTAATTTTCAACCTTTAATAGCTGTCTAAGGTTGTCTGATCCTTGCTTCCTTTTATGATTCCTCTATTGTAGAGCCCTGTAACTTTTGATAAACAAATGGCTCTTTAGACAAGCTGGGGGGCCTGCCTTTCATAAAGCAACTTATGAGAAAAGCGAGCTTCATTAGAATAATATTTGTCTTTGAGTGTGGCGAGCCATTTATTTTTACATTAGGAAAAATTTGTAAGTGCCAACTAATGTACACATCTAGGAAGACAGTCACTGTCCCCAGTTTATAAACTAGCTTTTAATTCAAGTTTTTCAAGCATATAGGTAAATTCTCCAGATATGGAGTAACTGATATTAAGAGAATTACTTGTTCATTTCAACTTCCATGTGAGTTTAAACACTTTACTGATTAAAATGTCAGTTTAAACCTGTGTCGTGGTTTAACCTCAGTCAGCAACTCAGCACCACGCTGCCACTCACTCCCCCCACCCCCGGTGGGATGGGGGAGAGAATTGGAAGAGCACAAGTGAGAAAAACTCGTGGGTTGAGATAAAAACAGTTTAATAATTGAAATAAAATGATAATAATAATAATATGATGATAATAATAATACACAAAGCAAGTGATGCACAGTACAATTGCTCACCACCCGCCGACCGATGCCCAGCCAGTCCCCGAGCAGCGGCCCCCCCCGGCCAGCTTCCCCCAGTTTATGCACTGAGCATGACGTCACATGGTATGGAATGTCCCTTTGGCCAGTTTGGCTGTGCCCCCTCCCAGCTTCTTGTGCCCCTCCAGCCTTCTCAGTCGGTAGAGCATGGGAAACTAAAAAGTCCTTGGCTAGTGTAAGCATTACCTAGCAACAACTAAAACATCGGTGTGTTATCAACTTTGTTCCCATCCTAAATCCAAAACACAGCACAGTACCAGCTACTAGGAAGGAAATTAACTCTATCCCTGCCGAAACCAGGACAACCTGACATGCACAGGTGCCACTGACTAACACAGCAGTGAATAAAAGGGAAAGAATGTGGAGTGTACACAGAGGGCAGGCAAATTCATAAATATTTAAGGCCTTTAAGTGAGTGTTTACATTGCTTATATGTTGCTTTCTTCCCTGAAAAAAAGTTGTTAAAGTGAAAAAAGTAAGACTAAAAAATACCAAGTTATAAAAAGAGCTAGGATAATTTGCTCAGGAAATGCCTCATTCTGACAGTTCCCGAGCACACATAGTACCCACCGACTTCTAAGACAGCAGAATTGGGGCTGAATTTGGGAAACTCCAAAGACAAACAGGGAAGCACGATGCAGCGTGGCCTTGTGCCCAGCTCGTGTGCATCCAGAACTCCACTTAGTCAATGAGAAATACTGCAAATGCTGTAACTACTGCTTACTAATACTTCCAGATGAAGCAGCAGATAAAACAGTTGAGCATTGGCAGCAACCACAGAAAAGCAGCTCCGTGGAACCTTTGTCTGTTTTCTAGAAGTGTAGCAGTATAGACGCCTCCTACTGTCCTAATTAAGTAGTCTGATGAGATTCCAAGCTCCAAGAACTTGGGATGGAAGACAAACATCCTTGTTGTCAATTCTTAAGCTATGAAGAAAACTGGATGCAGATCTGAATCCAACTTTTTCACTGTTTCTAACACTACATTCATCAGCATGACCTCTGAGGCACTCTCCTACAGAAACACCACAAGTAGCAGTTATTTCATAATCCAGGGCTTGTCCCGAACACTGAGAAAAAGCCACCCTGTAGACTAGCAACTTCAGTCTGCTACTTTATTTTTTATTTTTAAATTAGAAAAATAAAGATAGTATCTTCTTGCTCATATGATGTCAGCTCTGCAGAACACTACGGACTTTTCTGGATAACCTAAGATGCAAAGCGCCTTGGGGTAGCAGCCATGTTCCAAAAGCTCTGATGAAACCTTTAAGTACTTTTAGTACTTAAAGTACTCTTAGTACTTAAAGGTAAAGCACTTAAAAGTAAAATAATTTTAAGTACTTTTTACTTTACCTTAACAGTACTTTTCGGCCTGATTCAATAATAAACATGTGTGTAAGAGGTCAAGAAGGCATATGACAATTTACATCAGCACACGAACTGCTAATCAATGAGTTTGTTAAGCTAAACCCAACTACTATGACTCCCTGCATACAGAGCGTGATTTAGCACTGTGCTGCTCAGAGAGCTCTATGTACTTTCCAAGTCCCTTTGCAATTCTTGAGAGCTGAACTCTATTATGCATGAAATAAGACATTGATTACACCAGCTGATACACAGCACACAGAAGTAGTGACCCCTCAGTGACTTCCTTGAAGTATTTACCAAAAACATTAGCCCTTTCAGTGCTAGATGTCTCTTCAGACCTGCCGTCTCCTTATGTAATGCAGTAAATATTTATGGAGGCCTTTGTTGAAAAAGCCTCCAAGATGTACAAAGACCTGCCTTGTACATTAAGGCTGCACCTCTAAAGCTGGCTTTCACTAGTCTAGAAAGGCTGAGAATCCTCATAAAGCTAGGAACTCCCCCTTCCTAGACTGCTTTAAGTCTAGGAGCTTCGAAGGAGCCAAAAATAGTCTGGATACAAAAATAGATTAGAAGCAGGCCTGGTTCTGAAGGCCGTCCCACCCCAAAGAATACCTGCCTTCATAAAACTAGGAAAAAACCTGAAAAACACTGACAAATTAAGTGATCAGAAACTTGCATATATTTGGAAGGGGAAAAAAAAAAAGAAAAAAAGAAAAGAGAAAAGGCTTATTCAGTTTTACACTTGCATAAGATAAAGATTTCCCCCTGCAGATCCTCATGGAGGCAGCCAGAGAGTTTTCTAAGAATTCACAGTGACTCTTGGCTCACTGTAAAGTCTTCCAAGTTGTTTTAGACATCTGTCCAGATGAACAGATTGGAAATTTAATTGACAAATTAAACGAAAATTGACAGTTTAAACAACAAATGCAGGAGGGTACACCAGAAATGGTACTGACCCCAGCATGGTTTAATAAGGGGGGGTGGGGAGTGTATTCAATATTTATGTACAATAAATAAATACTGGGTTTTTTTTCTTTTTTTAGAAGCACACAAAACCATACTGTAACCAAAACCCAAACCAGACTGAACTAAGCATATCATTTTTGCCTAAAATAAGCTGAATCCCACAGGACTGAATTTCTGCACCTATTGACAGTTTGTTTTCTTAAGTTACTTTTTGGAAGGGAAAAGAATCATCCATCTGTGCAAAAACATACTGCAGACATAGCAACAGCTTTGTGTGTATGGAACAGTTATTATTAGAACAGAGCAATGACTATTTTAAAGAAATGTAAGATTTCTGGACTACTTTTTTTTTTTTTTTTTTAAATTACACTAAAAGCAAACACCGAAGTGGAAAGTTGCAGGATGCCAAAGTATAGATAAATCCTAGGGAAAAAAATGAGACTAAGACGAAGAATTGATCCAAAGAGGTCACAGCAGTGATAGAACACTACCTTTCTTACTATCAGAAGATACAAATTGCAAGGCTGGACCCTGCCAAACAGGATTCACACTACATTCAACCTGGGCTAGCGGAGCAGACTCACTAGCTCAGATTCGGCTGTTCTCTACTGACAATATGGCACACAATCCAGACTAAACCCCCCTCCAGTAAAGAATTCTTCCTAGAAGAAGTCCCCCTAGTAGACAAAGCATTTTGCTGAAACCAACTAAAGAGATGGCAAAGTATCCTCCTTTGTCATTATCTCACAAGTGCCGTCCCAAAGAGGGAAGAGTACTGAAGAAAAGAAAGGTGGCCTCGAACGTATAACATCGTCCTCTTCTAATGCAGTCAAGCCAGTCTTGCACGTGCCATTCCTGATCCTGTGATTTATTAATCCATGTTAACCTACTCCACACGAATCTTTGGGAGGTTTGGGGTTGTTTTTTCTTTCTCTCGCTCCCCCCCCCTTCTTTTTTCTTTTTTTCCTCCTTCTTCTTTCTTTTTTTCCTCCTTCTTCTCCTATTGACTCCCTTTTCTGTGCTCTCAAACAATCTTCAAGTTTTTACTTTGTGGTCTAACCACCACTCTGCGTCGACGGAGTCCTCTCCTTACGGGCCTTCTCTGAAACAGTTTTGCTGCCGTACCCATAAACAGACACAGAAACAAAAAAAACCCCAAACGTACACACTCACACCACAACCCAACAACAGGTAAGCAATTGCGATACTGCAAGACACCCTGATCCTAGCAGTTTCTCATATCCTCCCGCTCTGCATCCACATGTTACTTCCTGGCTTACGTATTCTGTGCACCAAACAGCTTCTGGCTGTGACAGAACTCAGGTAAGATGACATGAAACATTGGCAGTTATTTTAATTCAATCTTAATTAGTATAATGTGACTACCAACTTTTAGAAAATACTAGTTTTTTTTATTTAACGGGCTATGTTTGCTAATTTTTACATAATGAACCCTGCAAGCAGTCATTTCTGCATCTGGAATAAAGACTCCCGGGGCTTCACTTAGAGCAGGGCACCTGTGAAAGTACCTGCAATACTCTACTCCAATTCTGTGTCCGTTACTCCACCGAGGTCCACAGCAGCAACTTAACACAATACTCGTTCAATTACTCTTTTCGTTTCAAAACGTGAAAGGGAAAAAACTTACCTTACTCCCCTGATAGAAGCAGCACTGAAGTTCCATTCGTGGATACCTTTCTGTAACACGCAGAAGAAAATAAATAAATAAAACATTCCTTTTTATGAATGAAGTGCCAGTAGGCATATCTTCTAGCCTGGAACTCAAGAGGTGGAAAGAGAAACACTTGAATTGTAACAGCCTATTACCTTTCAACAGTTATTCTTCAGGGCATGTTTTTTTTCACCCAAAACCAAAGGGACAGAAGCTCTAGATAGAAGGTTTGGGTTGTTTGTTTCTTCACTGTTTATTCTGCAAACACAACGTACTATTTTAGAAAGTATGCAAAAGAGCAGCTCAGAAGGGCTGCCGGTATAGCCTGGTCTGGGTGCTGAACTTGGGGTCACGTGCGACCCTCTGGAAAGCGGGGAGAAAAAGAATCCACCTCCGAGAATAACAAGAGCCTGCTCTGCATGCTCAATGCCCTAGCCTGTGCTAGACCAGGCAGAGCGCGCTACAAGCGGGAAGTCTGACGCTGGAAAGCAAAGTGGGAAATTCTTGGAAAGCAGAAGGAATTGCCCAGGGAAGGAGCAAATCTGAAGGCCAAATGTCCAAAGAAACAGAAAAGAGACTATTTCCCTAAGGATCCAGAAGAGAGCAGTAAGAATGCACCAAAACCCCTCAGAGCTGCCGGAGTAATAAACAAGGCTGGAAGAAAGACGACACCCTACGAAAACACAAAGGGCCAGGCCTCACTTATTTTCAGATCTTTAAAATTTACATCTGTCACATTCAGCAGAACTAAGTTCTCTCTGTAGCCAGTCATATTGCTCTACATTAATATTCTAATAAAAACTTTACTGTAGGAAACAGAAGCCTTTTGTATCTTCTCATGAAAACATTCTCCTTTCAGAAAAAGGTAGAACTATACCACCTCAAAGTCCTGGCAACCTTGGGGTCCCACCACAATGAGCAACCTATTTGAAGAAACTCTGCTTTCTAGAGCTGAACGTAATCTGGCATTTTAGTGACCTGAGCAATGAAAAGGCACAGAGACATTTCTTGCCAAGAGGTAATTTATAGCATAAGGGCATAGTGTCAAACACAAACATAACCAAATGTATTCCAAAAGATGACGTGAAAGCGCGTAGCTTACAAAATATTTCATGAATAGTGACATACAGAAGTCAGAACAGATACACTGCCAAAATAGTTGCACAATGTGCAGCAAAGGATAGAGGAAATTATTCTCGCAGCTGTAACAGCTTTCTTTAAGGCTTCCTACATCAATTTTGTCCTCTGCAATTCTTCCTTCCTGCTCAAATCACATTGAAGATTGTGATGCTAATATAAAATGCCTAACACAACATACCAAAAATACAAGCAAACATCTTTCTTGAAGTACAAGCTTCACACTATTATAATTGTAAAGTACAAAGCAGTAACTCCAATATCTCTTCAATGCTAAATGAGGGGAAGGGTTTCTCCAGTTGGGTACAAGGACAGGAGAATAGTCTGATATTAAGAAAAGGTGGGATTGCATCTTGAAGTGGAGGTACCAACAGATGCTAGTGTGAAGTGTCTGTGAAACTACTATTCGAGTTGCCTGGTTCTCTTGCACGAAGGGAGATCACCAACTCAATCTCTCTGCTAATAAGGAGGGTGTGTCTGCACTGTCTTTTACTCCTCCCTCCATATAGAAACTCTACCACTTTCCAATTTTCGGTGCTTGGAAACTCTCTTTGGAGCTCAGCTATTGGTACTTGTCCAAGTCCCACTATTGGGAATAATCTAAAATCTAAATAAGTTAAAATATATGTCCTGACAGGCAGAAATGCTCAAGAAACATTACAAGCATAAGTATTGTGGGTTTTACCTGTCATCTACATGCAACTAATCTCTCACAGATTCATACATCTTTCATTTACCACACGATATTCTCAGGCAATGAAATAATATAAAAGTTATGTCCCTCATGATCTTGCCAAGTTTTGAATACATTGGAGTAAACATATCAGGCACGTTATCCAAATTCAGCGTCTGTTCTTTGGTTAGGCAAAAAACCACCAACCACCCAAAACAAAACTCAAAATGGATTCAGAAGCCAACGCGAAACAGAGACAGGCTGTTCCATTTCAAACTTGCAACAGTACTGCTGCATTCCTCTAACCCCACACGGAAAGGGCTGCTAAAATTAGGGAACTGCAAGGCAAAGGTAACGTGCGTTCTACAAAATATAACGCTATCTGATTTTTATAGGCATTTGTTTGTGTTAAACTTGGTATTATTAAAGGCATAAATATTAAGATATGCTGCTAAAAAAGCCATGGAAAAGGAAGAGGCCACATTATTTATCCTGGTATTGACTGTCATTTGCTGATTTATTACAAAATTGCTGGCTGCAGGCTCCACTGAGTCCCGGTTTGGATTTGAAATGGAAATTCAGTTTCTTTGTGCATGAAAGGAAGTTCATACACTTCATAACTCACAATTCTTATCCTTCGAGCACTGACTGAATTTTGGAAAAATAAGTAAAACCATTAATTTATGAGCCAAAATGAACTGAAATCTAAAGCGTGAGCTGGTAAAGCTCTGACAGACCTACGGCAGGCAGATTGAAATTGCATAGTTGAAGCAGTTTCCAAACCCAGCTGTCTAACCTGCCCTTGCAGTAGGGATAGGTGGTCTTTGCTTGTTAATCGGCCCCTAAAATGCCTGTTTGCACCCTAGTAAGGACCAAAGTAAGAGTCTTCCTCTTCGCAGTGGGCTGACAGATAATATATCAATTTCCTTCACAAAATCTCTTATCAAAGACAAATATTATACTGGTTATATTCAACCGAAAAGGAAGCTGGCGTCTCCAAATTTGTCTAGTCCCTTTTCTCCCTGTAAGGTCACTGATGGATTCTAAGGACTTTGACAAACTTGCAAAAACAGACTGTGATTGTGCAGCTGAAGAGGTAACTACCAAATTGCCCATTGCATTCTTTTGATGGGTATTATGGCTCTCAGGGCAAGGATGCCTGTGCTGAGGATCAATCAGATCCCGGGCGACTGAATAAGCTCACCACAGTAAGGATTCTGGCCAGAGCAAAAGTACTAGGGAGTGCATTTAAAACTGACCTTGTCTAATGCTACTGATTAACACTAGGGCAGCAAAAATAGGAAAACACTAACCGCAGAAAATACAGAGATACACTCCCCAAATCAGGAAGGAGGGGGAAAAGAAAAAAAAGAAAAAAGTATAACATAATGTAAAGAAACTTTAAAAATGGAACAACATAATTACAGTAACGGAAAACACTACAAAGCAAATGTTACAAACTCTGCAAAGCCAAAATAGCTATCCACTGAACACCGAACAGGTACAGACTAATACATCCAAATCCTTCTCCCAGTCACAGGACAACTGGGCAGTCAAGTGACAGAGCTATGAAAAAGGCCGTTGATGAAAGTATAAAGCAAAATATCCCAGTAGCTAGAAGATACATGAATGCACCATGAAATGCCATTTGTGGAATGAGTGCACATGCTCAAGTAAGGTTAACTCAAACTGGAACATAAAAAGTCATGGCAATGAGATGCCATGTAGGGTCAGTACACCAAGCCTACTTGTTTTGCTAAAAACAAAACAAAACAAAACCAAACAAACCAAAACCCCACCAAAAAAGCCCACTAAGAGATATCAGGATTCTTCTTAAAAATACTGTAAGGTAAACATCAGAGAGAGAAAGGAACCACTTAACATAAACACTGTGTTAGCAAAATAAATAAGTATGAAATGGCAACAAATTCAGACTAGAAGCCTTAAAGTAACGCTCTTCTCCTTCACCAGCAGTATTCCAATCTAGGCTCTTCTAGAGGTGCAGTGGCATGCTCAAACCACTTTCCAGCACAAATGGTCATCTGTGAAACCTACATTAGTATTCAGACGGAGCGTGATCACTTTATGCGAAACATTATATGTCAAGAGTGTCTGCAACAGAGGTGGACAGGACTCAATAGTCCAGAAAAATTCCTTATAGTCCTATGTTCCTTCTTATACTATAGATAAGCCACTTAATAGAATGGAAAGCATTGTTTGGAGGTGAACTACATACACACAAAAAAAGCCTACAAAAAACCAAACAAACAAAAAAATGCATGTACAAGTAGTTTCTAAATAGACTTAAGTTCTGAATACAGAAATACTTTCCGAACAGATATTTTACAATAGCAAGGTTTACTTTGCAGTACTGACAAATCGTTATTTACTGTGTGTTAAATTTTGGTTTTGTCCAAGAATTGCATAAATTTGTTTTTTATATTATTCTCAGAGGCTGAGCCTACTTGGAGAAACATCAGTCAGATTAAACCACAAATAAACAGAAATTCATTGGTCTAGGCAAACATTTCAGGCTGTACTCTGAATATGCTGTTTCAGCCACTGTCCATTTACATTTACTCGTGAACTCCCAACAGAAATTCTAAGCAGTAGGGCCTCACATATTCTGCATGCAAAAATGTTTCTCCTTTAACAGGCTACAAGTACGAAAGCTGAAGGATGAATTACCTGAAAAATAGGTCTTCACTGTCCTATCCTGCAGGCAAACAAAATGCTGCCACAGAAGAATGAACAGCGCTAGTTCTTACAAATTGCACCATCTCCAGTGTTGTGCCTCCAGCTGACTCAGCCTCCATTCACTCTTCATGTACTCCCCGCATGTTTCCGTGCTCCCGTCCTTCTCTGAGGTTCTACGATGTCCTTCCTGTCTTCACTCTGACCAACATTTTGCTTCCTAAGCATCCCAGAATGCAATAACCATTCTAGGTTTTCCTCTCCCCTTGCATCTCCAGATTTTCTAAGCTCTTTCCAAATACGTCTGGCTATCTCACACCTTGACATAAGGACTTCCCAGCTTTTTCAATTTCTAGACCTCTGAGCATATCTATCCTTCTGCCAAATACTTCTTCGGCTTTTGATTGATTCCGCTCCTATTTTAAGACACCAGTCTCTATTACTTTCATATTAAAGGAGTATTTACCACAGCTGACAAGCAATACTGCAAGTACAGGAAGAAGACAGTTCTGCTTGTGTAAATAATTTTATGCTACATTGTTTGTTTGATGACAGTATATTGTAAATTACTTATGAAATCTTAAGCAACAGACTTGTGCATTATACACTGGTTTAAAACAACCTGAAAGAAGATGCAAGTTATTTTAAAAAATGATGGAGACAAAAGATCCATTAAACAACAGGACAAACTTAAAGAAAAAATTAAGAATGCCATATTAAAAAAAATAAATTAAAAAATGCATGGCAACATATGTCCACAGCATCTTCCAGTGTTACTAAAACACTTTTCTCCTTTGCAGAATCCATCGTTAGATGCAACTGTTTACATGTTATATGCCTTATGTACCATGCATACTTTCAAATTGTGAAAAAAGTTACAACCACAGACAACACCATGGTATACCTTGTCGTCAGGTAGCACATGCCAGATAGATACAGTCTTCTCCTCGGCTTCACTGTTGATGGAGAGATATGAGGGCTGATAGATTTTTGTTGGTTCTAATATTAAAACCTTGTAGAAAAAATAATTTTTAAGAATTAGTACAAAACACGTAGAACTTTAAAAAGTATTAAAATCTGTTAAAACTATTTCTGTCACCGTACCATAACAGGAAAAACAGGGGAAACAGAATGAAAGGTAAAATTTTAGGTACTGGGCTAGTTTAGTATGGCTGACAGTAACTTAAGATTAAAAAATTAAAAAAAGCCAATTTTAATTTAGTTTTTTATGTAAGGCTATTATGTGTCAATTGGTAGCACATATCAGCTTCCAAATGACTTCTCTGACAACTATCAGAGTTTGAAATCTTTCTGTCACAATTCATTCTCTTGCAATGCCATTCAAGAACATCCATCTCCCACGTGGACAGGATTCATGGTATACCTTTGGCATCTTTTCACACAAGCGCATTTGGGTAAATCAGAAAAATACATCAGAGCTAGACTGAACTGCTTTTGATTTAGACTATTGTGAACTGTAGCCACCAGATCAAATTATTTTCTCAAAAGCAACAAGCACCACTGCAAGAGGCTGACAGCTAAAGATTATAGAAAGTTTCCTGGAATAAGTGAAACAAAAACTAGAACCATCATGTAAAAGAGATGGGATGCAATGCAGCGAGATTTAGTCTAACAGAACCACTCAGTAAATGAAGCCAGACACTCTGCCACTTTAATAGTGTTCTGCCAGAATTACTTCCAGATCTTTAAAGCTTCCAGCATGCTTTAAAAGGAGAAAGCCAACAAAGTTTGGCTATTTGAAGAAGTGTGGTTTCTCATTAGAACTATTTATTTATTTTAGATTTTCAGTGGTTAAAATCTGATGTCTAAAACACCAAATCAATATTGCCTGTGTTGAAGGTATTCTCATTCTTCAGAACGTAAATATTGTTATTAATTCAAGAAAAAGATACTCTCTTCCACTGCAGCAGGCACAGGAAGATTTCTAGCTCTTAGTGTTTAGCTGAAAGACATTTATAAAAAAGTTAAAGATGGTTAACAAATTATAATCTCCTTCCTTTCTTCTGCCCTTCTCTCTCCCATAAAAGCTCCAATCTAACATCATCTTCAAAATATCCAAGATACAGGATTTCTCATTTGAAAATTTTTGGAGTTCAAAGAATTGCTTTAGGAAGTAATGATTGACTGGGGCAATTTGGTCTACATCCATTTAAAAAAAAAATAAATACATAAACACCTAAGCAGAAAGTCTTGGAAAGAGCCATGGCTTAGAGTCAAATCTAAGCCATGCCCCCTCCTACAGAATCAATGAGGACAGAGATACACTGGCAGAAGAGCAAGGCCAAATTTTGAAAAGTATCTAGGCATTTAACTCCGTAAGCGATGACCAGTGGGATTTCAAATGTGTCGCTTGGCATCTCCAGACACATATAATTTCTGAAGTCTGGTTTAGATCATTTCACAAACTGGGGTCTTTAGCCTATAGCAAGTCACCCACAAGCTGGCTCATTTCTTCCTCTAAAGGCCGAGAAGAGGTTGATGACACTGATGCTACCAGATAAGAAAGTAACTGACAGCTAAGCTAGTACCGATGAACAGTGAATTCCTTAAGTGCAAGCTCTGAGAACAATTCACAATAAGGAAATCTGCAAAAAACTTCTTTTAGAATAAATTATTTGCAAGAATCTGGGAGAAGGGAGGGAAAAGCAAGTTACTGTGTTTCATTTTGTTGACTTGTTGAACGGTGTGATTTTCCTTCTGAATGGGCACAAATAGAATTTTTGTATTATGAGAGATCATAATATTAATAAAAATCCAAACCATTTGACTTGGACAGTTTTAGAAGTCAGAGTCTATTTTAAGTATCTAATTGCTCCGTTTCATCATCAAAAATCTAAAAAGAACGCGGCCTTGTCTTTTACAAAAAACAGAGGATTCAAAATATATTTTGCTTCCCTGCAAAACTTTACGGCCCATTCTCCTCGGAGAAGGAGAACCAGACTCCCTAGAGAGTCTCATGTTGCCTTCACTTCGCTGCCTCAAGCTGTTTGCTGTTCAACACTAGAGTCTTCCTTATGGTTTATTATCCCATCTACACACAGAAGCCAAAAGAACTGTACAAAACAACCAGTATGCACTTCAAGTATCTGGGAGGCAATAGCAACTGCTATTTCAAACAAAAAGCTGTATTTGCTCACGGCTAGCTAAAATAAAGCCAAGACATTATTTCCCTTACATATACAGTTAATATGTCCAGGGAACAAAGATCTTTTTACAGTATACTTTCAGGACGTTGTACAACACCAGGATGTCTAATAAAAATTTTCAGCAAAATGTTTGTGGAAGAAATCAGAAAAGTATATCTATACTTATAGTGCAACATTGTTGAAATACATTGCCTAGTAGCTGGAACAATAGATTTCTGACTGCTTGGGCTGATTTTTAACCTCTAACAGAGCACAGGCTTGATTGGCAGTAGGGTGTGCAAAGCCTGCTGAGCTAGAAAGAGACTGAAATTAAGTATCTTTTCTTCAAAACATAATGTAGTTGATATAGTATCACCTGGAAAACACTGCAAAGGTTTGCTTTAGAAGTATACCCATTAGTAGCAAGCACTAAATAGCAAAGTTCTATCTTGACTTTTTTCCTCATTACTTTCATATGGAACACACTGTAGCCACGTGCAATCAATTAAAACCAATCTAATATGCAGGCCAAATACATTTCTTCTGGACAAGCAGTTTATTGTCTGGCAACCTGAAAACAAGCAGTGTTTTGTGTCCATTTCCTTCATGTCACAACTTACTAAAAAAAAAAAAAAACAACAAAAAACCACCCACCAAAAAAACCCCCACAACAAAACAACCACTTACTGGAAATCGAACTACAGTCACATCTGTCTTTGTGGCTTCAACAAGGAAGTCCATCCAGAAGTCCACAAGTTCCTGTTTGGCCGTATGTTGTTCTGGAGTCAGTTTCTTAAAATGCTGATATATCAAAACAGTCTCTACAATAGACTTCAGGTACCTGTGATCATCCAAGCATACACAGATAGTAAATTTAATACAGTTTGTAAATACTAATGTGTCTGCCTTTAATCACAGCTGAAGCATTCACCATTGCAACAGCAAGGCAGCCAGTAAGATTTTGGTTCTCTAGGACTGCTTTTAATAATAGCAACTCCCCATTTAGAACTGAAAACGTAGCTGCTACATTAGTAATCTGAAATACAAATGAGTTCTGGGACGCTCCTTCCTGCATTTATTCCTGATGCCATATACTGTCTCTCATCTTAAACCACGAAAGCTTCATGAAATAGCTAAATCCTCTACCTATGGACCAAACTGAGCCTATGTCAAACTTGTTTCAGTAGTGATCAAACTCAAATAAAAACTCAGCGGAAAAGTCCACTAGTTTAACTTTCTACACTGTTCTGTCTTCTGTATTGAATCTGCATTGGCAGCTGTTTAACACCGATTTCTAAAACATGACACTTCTGGAATTGATTATCCTACGAAGATGACAACAGTTACGCTAAGCAGCCTCTTGGCATTGCTAGGGAAGGACAACAGCAGTGCTGAATGTCTCCCCTAAATGCAGATCATCCTTCTCTCTGCTGTTCTACTTTCTGGGGCTGGTTTATGGGGCTCCTCATAACATTGCTTTCTCTTGGCATTTTTGAAAAAAGTTGTAAAAATAATCTTATGCAATTTTTATGAATACTACTGCAATCAGATACGCATGCCTAAAGAGGATTTATCACAGCTACCACCTTATCACAATTAGACTATTCATGGTAATTTTGTTTTCAGGCTTATGACAAGAAGGTATAACATAAACTCAGAGTGTCTTTTGGGAACAGTTCCATAGCTGTGCGTTTTCCAATCATCCTTCTTAGGCCATGGGGATATCTGGCTTAAGGCACCATATCTACTCCCCTTTGCACCAAGTGGGTTCTGCTGAACAGCAGGCAATGGACTGGGAAGGAATTGCTCACAGGAGAAATCCTTCCTGAAGCACAAATGAGTGTGCTGTACTTTCAGAGTTTGATCCACAGACTTAAACCCCAAAGGCACTGGTACATAAAATCCTGACAACCACACATTCATAAACTCCAGAAAACTCTACCAGGAGACTTCCAGAGAGCGCTATCCAGCTTCTCAGCAAAACATGCACATAGTAAAAATGGAAAACTTGCAGATAAATACACTATAAACAGCATTTATGAAATATTTGGTCAGAAAATTAGAGCTCTCAATTTTGACAGTTTCCTATGTTATGTTGATATAGAAGTTTAGCATTTCCATATTTTAGCACGCATACATACATTCCCCTCTGATCAGCTTTCAGAGACAGACTTTCTAGCCTTTATAAAAAGACAAAAATACATAGGCTGCGACTTATACTCTTTCAGTTGGCAAAGTGACAACTTTTTTAGTCAGAAGGGAGTTTTGGTTCTCCCCAGCTAACGGGATCCCAGCCCTTGATGAGGAGGTGACTGGTCCTTACTTGCTGCCTACATCCAAAGCAGAACAGGTGCCAGGAGCCTGCTGTCAGAGCACACAACTCTTGGCCTTCGCGTAACAGATGTCTGCAGGGTTGTCTTTAACCCTAGATTTATAACCTTTCTGTTAATTGGACTTTAATCTGCGTTCTTCTCAATCATAATGAGATGCAACTTGTACCATACAGCTCATTCATGTTCAAGTTCCTAGAACAGCTGGTATGTGCAATAACCATCACAGCATTCCAAGGCATATCCATGCCTCTCTAGCCAAGCTGACTGCATTCCCAAAAATTTTCAGGCAGTTATGACTAAACTCACATGCCACTACCACTTCTCTTCAGCAATGTAACTGCTGAAGTATGGTGCCTACAAGCAACTCCTCCTTTCCTTCTTGCCCTCAGAAGAGCCTGCAGCCAATGGTGAATCTGCCCTTCTCAGACATCAAATTAAAGACTCGTATCAAATCTACCCCTGAATAAGACCAAAAGGGGAAGAGAGTCCCTTGTCTGGGTAAAAGTGCAGTGAAACAACACACAGACAGCAAAATCTGTTAAAAAAACAAAACCAATCTCCTGTCAGCTAAATACGATGCTGAATTGGAAAGGTGAAGGAGTCCAATGTTTTACTACATAGCAATGTATGTGATCTCATTTATCACCTTACCATGCTGGTGCCTTTAGCTTAAACAGCTTTTCTGAAGCCTGGATCACTCTTATATGGTCATTAGCCAACATACTGGCCCCCAGGAAAGATCCCACTTCCCAATAGCTCTGCAGTTTCTCCAAGCTCCCCTTTTTACCAAGCAGGCTGCTGATCTTTACTCCTGTAGTAAAAAGAATAATAGGTCACAGGAACATATTAATGCAGTTTTAAAATAACCACTTCCCTGATTGGAATCAATCAATTAATTGCTTAAATTACTGTAGCCTCTCCATTTTAATGAAGTAAGATGGAAATCATACTTACCAGTTAATGTTACATGCCTTCCAAACACCCTAAGTGGTAGCAGATTTTTTTTTTCCCCTCCCCCTCTTCCTAAAGGCTTCTCAAGAAAGGAACTTTAAGACATCGCTGTCAGGACAAGGCCACAGTCGGATTACCTATGTTCTTGCATGGACCTCATCTGTAAAGGTAAATTGGGGCCTTAGGCTACACAACATAGCTGTAAAAACTTAACAGATGCTGAATAAGGCACCTATTATGTTTTTTTCTGCTTTGTTTTTTTGACTTACAAGCCCCAAGCCCCAAACTTACCTTTATAGACAAGGTCCCATGCAGAAGGAACAGATGATCCACTGGGCTTCTTCCAGCAGTGATGTTCTTTTAATTGCCGCAAGTCCTACCCCAATGAAAGACATCTATTAATATTCATAAGTCCCTCAGCAACTCAAGACTATGGAGAGCCTCAGGTTTTATTTTGAATTGCTAAGTTTTCCGAGAACTACATATTTCCCTGTGGCATTCAGGATGATTTTTAGTTCATATTAGCTGCTACGTATTTATAGCTAACATGAGATACGCTACACCGTCCCCTGCAAATAAAACAATTTGCGGCTTACAAGACAAGCCTCTTCACCACCATAGTCTTTTATTCACTTTTCCCACACTGCCCCACTATGACAGTTTCCCTCCCACATCACCTTCCGTTGTCCTTGATATTAAGTCTGAGTATTCACAAGAAATTTCAATGCAACTGTTGATCTTTATTTTTTCCTTAACCTTCCTTAAGTAGCTAGCAGACTAAACTTCATGCTGGAAGCAGCAATAAATCTAACCAAAATGGATATCATTACATCAGCTACATTTCAGCCTACAAAATTTATCTTGTTTTCGCATGTTGTTCACATTATTATGTTATCAACATCAGACAATAAGTGTTTTTAAAATGTGAAATTGTATCCAAGTGGTCTATAGCCTATTTCACGTCTGTATTTCACACTTTGTGCTCTCTTGCTAACAAGAAATGTCATCCTTGAGTAACATACAGAACAAAATAATACTTAAATCATATAAAACCATTATTTGTTAGCTTCTTGGGAAAGAAGTTTGTTTAGTTATTCCTGAAGAGGAGAAAACACAGTAGATTTTACAAAATATCTCAGATCTACCTGAGACATGATGCAGTGTACATCAACTCCACAACGTACAGCAGTGTGTATCAGCTCTGCAAGGCTTTAAGCCAGGGTGCTATATACATGCACACTGTCAAGAGACCGCTTGAGGATGTACACCTACACTTGTCAGTGTAGGACAGGAAGGGGGAATTTGTGTTAAATGTGTTCAACTTCAGTTGGGTTCTAGAAACCAAAGCCTACACGCTATCCACACAACACAGTAAACAGAAAAAATTAATCTCCCCCAGGACCCTAGACTAACACTACTCAGCAATATCCTCAAAGGCTGAAGGGCTCTGCTAGAATGTCTAAAACATTTGCATGCACATGACAGCAACGTACAAGAGCAGATAGACACACATTAACTTCCACAGGCTTTGAATGTGACCTCATCACGAGGGAAGTAAGGAATTGGTATCACAGGGATACATGAATCGTTTCAGATGGGTATACCTTTGCTGGGAGGAAGGGGAAAGGGAGCAGTTTAGCTGTGCAGAGGGCCTTTGCTGAGTACTGGGCAAGGGCGCTCACAGTTGCGGTGACCACTGACAAGCTATCACAAGCTATTTGTCACAGCAAGCAGCAGCACTGGTCTCCAGTTCACAGGCTTACATACTCTGCCATGCTTCGCTGCACCTGCAGGAACCCACCCATCACAACCCTCCAGCGCTCCAGACATGAGAACAGAGCCAAAGCAAGGTACAAACCGAGTGTGTGGTTTTGATGAAAAGTGCAGCTCACATGGGGAGGGATTAGGATTACCGGCACGGCAGGGAGAAGTGCTTGTTAGGAGGGTAAGACTGGTGATAGCAAGGATTTTGAGTCCCAGCTCACGGAATAAGGGAGAGCTATAGGAAGATGGTGGGAGAAAGGATGGATGCGTAGCAGAAATGATATCTGAGGACACCAAGTTTGGGAATCATTATTGTTATGTAGTCTGGACGAACTGGAAGTTTTATCCAGGTATTCTGTGAAGTGGATCCTATTACCTTAGAGAAAACAACATCAGTCTCTCATCAAATTCTTCTGTGAAAGATGAGGTACTCAGTGCTAAAACTCACTCTAGTTTGCTGAGTGAGTTTTCCTCTAAAAGCTCATCTTACAAACTTACTTATCCCTGAAAGGCAAGTTGGAAAAGACATGAGCAATAGGTTCAAAAGACTGTAACTCTAATTCATAGAGATGGGTTTGGTCTTGGGGGGGGGAGGGGGGGGACACGACACACGACGACAAAACCTTTCTATGCAAACATGCAAAGTGAACACCTTCATGAATTCCACTCTGAGTTTGTGGTCTCCTTGTATTTCTCTTCCCTAGTTTATTTTGATTTCACCATCTTTAAAAGTTTTTTGAGAGTATAAGAAAATCCAGGCAATGTCAAGACATCCTCTCCTTCCATCATAAACTTGGCATTCACAGGGGGGGAGGAAAAAAAAAAAGCAGCAGCTGAACTCCAGTATATTTTATAAAAAATACTTTGCCTTAAAAATAAATAAAATAGAGGAACCATTAATGCCAGAAAAGCCATTGTTTCTATAATTCCAAGAATATACCCACAGCTTGTGAAGAAAATAAGACACAGTCAGTAGATATTACCAGTTACATACTACTATGAAGGCTTTATAAATAAACTGCTTTCCTTGCTCAAATATTGACAGAACAATTCGTATTACAAGATCCTGTGTGTGTCAAAGTTGCGCAGCCTGCAGAGATCATTACTGTCAGTGCAAAGCACTGCATTTCCATTTTGGTCTCAAAGTTCTCCAATTTTGTACGGTTAAGAAAGCAATACTATTTAGAAAATAATGCTATTTAGAAAATGGAGGATTTTCATTAATGCTTCACATGATCATTTAGTTGCGAACTATTATCTGACAAGTAGAGGTAGGAACTTTCAGAAGGCAAGTTTTCTGATCTGATTAAGGTTGGTAAAAATTCTCTTGGATACTGGACTTATTCTTAGTTTTACCAGAATTATTACATTATTGCCAATGTAATGAGATATGCATCTTCTAATTACAGCCTCATGCACCCTCTGAAGCGCTGTTAGGGACCATATCCTTCCTTAGTCTTTCCCAAGCTACCAATATCATTTCCATATAACCTGGACTGAACTTCAACCAGCTTGCTCTGGTCTCTCTCCTCATCTCCCACCAGAAGACAGACTTCATCTAATTTCTGTGTGCTATAGATAATGCTGCGGGTGGACACCAAACTGAAAGTACTGCCAGGCAAATCTAACCACTGCTAATGAATGGTCTTGTACATACAGATCTCAACAAGAGGTGACAACAAAAGAATGACACACATATAAGAGATTCTCAGGACAGGGAAAAAAATAAATCAAAACATTTTTCTAACCTTTGTGGTTTTGCTTATTTTTGTTTAAAACATTAACCTTAGGCCAAGACAAAGAAAATACTGAATTATCCTCAGAATCTAGTACAACTCAAGCCAGCTGACAAACCTCATTTTACAAAGACAAATGTAAGGTCTTGCACCTGGGAAAACATAATCCAGGAGTGCAGCACAGGCTGGATCTACCCGGCTGGGGAGCAGCTCTGTGGAAAGCGACCTCGGGGTCCTGGTAGACAACAAGCTCAATATGAGTGAACAGTGTGCTGCTGTGGCAAAGAAAGCCAACAGCAGGCTGGGTTGCATCAACAAGGGCATCACCAGCAGAGACACAGAAGTCATTATCCCACTCTACTCAGTGCTTGTCAAGCCACACCTGGAATACTGTGTTCAGTTTTGGTCCCCGCTATGCAAGAAAGATGCGGACAGGCTGGAGAGGGTCCAGAGAAGGGCCACAAAGATCATCAAAGGACTGGGAAGCCTGCCGTATGAAGAAAGGCTGAGAGAACTGGGTTTGTTCAGCCTTGAGAAAAAAAGGCTTAGGGGAGACCTTACCATCATGTTCCAGTATTTAAAGGGTGGCTACAAAGAAGATGGAGACTCCCTTTTTACAAGGAGTCACATGGAAAAGATGAGGGGTAATGGGTGCAAGTTACTCCTGGGGAGATTCCGATTAGTCACTAGAGGAAAATTTTTCACAATGAGAACAGTCAGCCATTGGAATAATCTCCCCAGGGAAGTGGTGGATTCCCCAACATTGGACACTTTTAAGATTCGGCTGGACAGGGTGTTGGGCCATCTTCTCTAGACCATACTTTTGCCATGAAAGTTTGGACCGGGTGATCCTTGAGGTCCCTCTTCCAACCTGGTATGCTATGATTCTATGAACAGTGACCACAGTCTTATCAGCAAGAGATCAATGACCACATAGGGTCTATATTATATATGTATTTGAAAACTTGTTTGAAAATAGCTAAGTCATTCTGAGGCTTAAAGTATTTTGACAATATTTCCCGTAACAGAATAAGAAAGATTGACAGTAGTAGATAACAGGAGGGGCTGCTATATCAAGGGTTTTCAGCAGACACCAAGTACATGTTTATATAAAGAGAGGCACACCAACCGCTCAAAAAAACCCAACCAACCTTCCACCAAATAGCTACTGGATATTTCTCCACTAAATCACTCATCAGCCGTGGACGGAACCTTAAGTAATAAGGAACGTTAATTTCTGTAACATTCTCCATACAAACAATAGGGAAAACAACACTAGACAGACTCACGAGAAGATGATACCAAACATCTGATCCCTACAAATAACACCCAGATTTCATCCGTACAATTAATTTGTCCAAATCTAGTTGGCTGTAGCCTGTGAGCAATTCAGAAGTTTCTTTGAAATGGAAGGATTCAAATTAAACTACACAATAAATATAGCCCAGCTTCGCTAAACTATCTGATTTAAAATTAGGCCAGCTGAGTGAATATTTGCAAATGCTATGTAGAAAGTAAAACATATATTTTTACCTCCTACACTGGCACAAGAATTCAAATTTCAGTGTAGGAGATAAAAGTATTCTATCCGACCCAAAAAGCAAAATCTCACCCACTCACGGAAGGGCAAATGCAGTAGTTGGGGCAACTCTTCTGCAGCCTACCACATCCAAATGAACACCTTCATTCATACCAGAGAATTTCAATTTCACTTCCATTATCTATGTGAAAGTAACCATCTCACTCTGACCTTCACACTCAAAAAACTTCTCTATCTAGAAAATAACTTCCAGACATACAGTGCACACCTAACTTCTAAACTAAAGCAGTGGCTCATTACAGATGCATTCAGTGGAGTGAAAAACATTGTTTCTTTCTCACTTGACAGCCTCCTCAGGAGACAGAAGGATAAAAAAAAAGACTTTACAATAAGTCAAGAATTATACAGATTCATGGAGAAGAATGCCAGCTGCAAAGGATATAGAGAGATATATATATATATATTTTACAACCCCCACCACCATCTCCCATACCTTCCCTGAAAGTATTACTGACTAATCTTGGCTTTGCACTCTCCTCAAATCCAGCAAAATCACAAAACGGACACCTTAATTCTTCCTTCTTAAGCAAAAATTTTTTTACAGCAAGGGTGGTGAGACATTGGACCAGGTTGCCCAGGGAAGTTGTGAAGTGTTGGAAGTTGCCCATTGTTGGAAGTGTTCAGGATCAGGTTGAGCAACCTGATCCTAGTGAAAGATGTCACTGCCCATGGCAGGGGGATTGGACTAGATGGTCTTTAAAAGGTCCCTTCCAACCCGAACAACTCTTGATTCTATGATTCTATGAATACAGACATTCTGGAAACCTCACA